AAAAGAATTTCAGTTGTTTCTCGGTTTTCGCGAAGCATTTTATTTTTTTTCTGACTATTTGAATAGATGTAACAATAGTAGATTGTTTTATTAGGATCAAAGATGACACTTAGTTTGACAAGCGAATTTTTTGCATTTGCGAGGCGAAGCGTCTCGCGAAGCCGAGCGAAAGTAAAAAAAAGAAAAAAAAAATCCAATATGTTGAAAAAAAAAATTCAATATATTGTATTTTTTCTTTCAATATATTGAAAAAATTTAATCCCAACGGCCAGGAAAGTTCCACGACTATAGAACCCCGCTGACGGTCGAAGTGTGCAAATCTGCCAGCGACAACTCTGTCGGCGACAACACAAAGCAAGGACTGAAAGACTCGAGCTGGGAATTACATAGTGACTAAAAAAATTCAACTACTTTCTACTACCAAATACTATTTCAGAGGCGGGCAAAATAGGAAAATGATGATGAAAAACTTCTTCAATCTTTGTGCTTTTTCTCTCCATATCCACTACGATTTATTGCCATGTTATGTATAATATCTGAGATGTAACAATATTTTTGCAAGAGGTGTGGATTTTCATAATTCTAGCAGATTATATTATCGAAAAATATCCGTATAAAAAAGTAACTGTATTCTGCGTCACTCCAAGTCCATTCTGTAAACATCTCTGGTGAATCCAACGATATCTGCATAATTGACCAGACGTCTCCAACTGAGCTTGGATAAAATTGATCACAGTGGATAATGCGGAATAATTCCTTTTTCAATTCAATTTCATTTTTCTCAGTTTACGTTTGAGTGTTAATAAACTCATTACCATATTATGTCTCAAATACAGAAAGGCTAGTATTTCTTCATAATGCATGCCACTCAGAAAATAATCCTTTATTATAAAATCAGTATGATTTCTTGAGACGTTTAGTGAATCCCCATCATTGTCCTTGTCCATCTCCGTATTGAGTCGTGGTAATAATATAATCAGTCAAAGCGAGCAGAGCACTACTAATGCACTCTAGCACAACAAGCAGCTTAGCACATTCATCACTCACTACTCACTTTTCCTGGATTTGAATAATGAAGAAAAATCCAATATATTGGATTTTTTTTAATATATTGGATTTTTTATTTCAATATATTGGATTTTTCTTTCAATATATTGGATTTTTTTTTAAATATTAGATTTTTTTCCAATATATTGGAAAAAAAAAATTTAATTGTGTGACCCCTAGACGCTTTCGTAGTATTTCGTGCACGTGTTGCAAACAAAATATTTTCTACAAACGTCAGAAAATATTGTTCCTAAAGAAGTAACATGCTTTGCTTGATATAAAAAATGGCGTTGAACTAGCTTAAAAAGCCTTAATTATTGTTAAACATTGAATAAATGATTTCGATTTTTGCTTGATTGAAGACCATTATGGTTAAAACACGAAAATTTCATATAAAGTTTAACATGCTATGCGCGAAGTATGTGTTTCCCGCACTACTTTATTTTGCACACTATTTCACGCACGGTGTCGTGGTAACGAAGAGATTTAAAAAAGGGTCACTTCGCATTCTTTTTATCAATGCGCGAACCTTGTCATTTTTTGACGTTTGTCAAAAGATTTATAAAAATTCAAGCCGCATAAAACACATTTTCACTGGAGAGATACTTTTGTTTGATATCGATGGCCACCATAACCGTTTTACAGGAAAATCAATTCAACAGATGGAGGAACCCAAATAAACTGCCTCCACCAAAATTGTAATGGAGACCATGCACTCCTTATCGAAGATTACACTCACATTACATAGAACACTGTTAGAACTTTCCGTTTCGGATAGATTGATTCCTGATAATGCATATTTCTTTATCACTATTCATAGTGCATGACAAGCTTGAAGAGTGTTGTTGAGAGGTTGTTGAAATTCTCTTTTCAAGTTTTGGTGGAGGCACTTATTTGGTGTTCCATAGATTGATTGGTTATTTTTGATGCCACTATTTTATTTGTATCACAAAATATCATATTCATTGAATCAATCGTATTTCATGTTTTACAGATGAGCACTGGCTCATATTGAATTTTGATGTCATCTATAATCTACAAAGCAATTAAACAGGAATGTAATGGCAGCTCGGTCGTTAATATTGATATTTATTCTTGGAAATCACGTATTTTACTGAAATTCTATACGTAACTGTTATTATCAACATGTTGATTCGGTGGTTTATGATATTATTAAATTGAACGTATTCCCAGTAATGTGTGGGCTTCATGAAATGGAATATGTAGGTACGTGCATGAGCTGTGGCAAACACAATTGATTCTTTCAATTCGGGGAAATTAAGGTATACAGGGTGATCAAGTTTCGATGCAGCCTATATAAGGAAATGGTGCCTGGCTCGAGAGAACGATGAAGAATAGTTAATAATTTCTCAAATTTCTCAAAGGTACGTAATTATTGTTCCTGCATGAATGATTGGTTTAGATTAGGTAGGAAGTAAGTATATCGCTCTGAAATCTTGTAAGCAAATTGATGGGAACGCTTTTTCTATAAAGTCTCGTTACATAGTGGTTTCAATGAATGCTGTGAAACGTTTTCATTTATTTTAATGGGATATAGTCTTCTTGCACATGAATGACGCAATTCCTATGAATTCACATCATTACTAGGATACATTAGAATAGAAATCACCAAACGCCAACATTCTAATATTTTTCTTGACCATCAATTAGATCTGAAAAATGAGCTTGTTTCGTTGGAAAATTTTAAATCAGCTCTGTAAATTCTTTTTAAATTATTGAAATTCACGTTATTTCATAACATAAAAACCGCGGGACAACGCGTGACGTCATATACGTACCCCGAAAAATCCATTGCAATTATAACATCTTGATGGAACAATCCGTCCAAACATTGTTCTTTCATGCACCTTTTATTCACCTTTATGATAGTGATAGTGAAATGCTCATGAAAAAAATGGGTACTCTTGAAAATTAGGCTTGAAATATATCTCAGGTACTCAATACAATTCATGAACCTCTTTTCCATTGTTTTTATCATTTTTTTTTTCTTATAATAGAGACATTGAACTTCGCTCACCCTGTACAATGTATTGTGACATTTGAATGAGAATATATAATTTCAATTTTGTATTCATTTGTCTGAAATGTCTGAAATGAAATTTCCCTTTTGAGTCAATAAAAAAATCAATCAATCAAATACTTTTTGAATGATAATTGATTGCAACATTATCTTTTTTCCTAAATGAATATTTATATTCAATCACGTTTACTCTTGGATGAAAGCAAAAAACGAGAGAATATTTCAAATAATGCGAGCGCTTCCCATTAGCCAACATAAGATAGAAAGAGATAGGATTCCGTTACCACTGCGGGTTGCCTGAACAATATTTTTGCCTCACTCGTCTTTCACAGACGATACCTTCCAGCTGTTCACATTGAGTTCATTGGTACTAGATCGTCTACTAGCTTTGCATTTAGATCGACAATGGCCATAACACTATGTTTTTTTTTTAAATGTTTATATAATACGTTTTGAAGGATTCTAGTTCGCACAGTCTTCATTGATGATGGGTTAGTTAGAACAATATTTGAATGCAGAAGTTGAAACTGAATTTGCTCAACTTCGATTTGCACCGTTATAAAAACCAATTGTCCGAAAAATCGTCTCGTTACTTCTATGCATTACAACTTTCAATAGGACTAGGACTAGGACTAGTATTTTGCACGAAATATAACCGTGAAATCGCAAAAATACCACTTTAGGGGTTACATTTTTACTCCCACCACTTAAGCACCACTTCCAAGAGGCGAAAGAGGGACCAGAGCAGATCTACATCTGTTCGGATAGTCAGGCAGCACTCAAGGCTATCGGTCATCCCAGACCAAGCTCAGCTTTGGTGCAGGAATGTGGAAATGCCCTTGAGATATTAGCCGAATCAAAGGAAGTTGAACTAGTATGGGTCCCGGTTCACAGTGGGGTGCCCGGAAACAAAACAGCAGACGAACTTGCAAGGGCCGGATCCGCGGAGCCGTTTCTGGGACCGGAGCCTGTACTAGGTATAGCAAGGAGCCAAATTACGTCACCCCTTGATGAATGGGCAGACAAGGCACTAGGAGAATACTGGTTGCAGGCAGGCCAAGGAATTCATGGCCGGTCCAAGCAAATCAAGGATGGAGTGGCTGCTTGGCAGAGACCGCCAAGTACTCCGCCTCCTCATAGGAGTACTCACAGCACACAACAGGCTAGGCAGACACCTATCACTTATGGGAATAGAGGGCAACCCCACTTGCCGCAGATGCGGGGAAGACGAGGAAACGTCACTCCATTTCCTCGGCGAGTGCGAGGCGTACGGAATGCTGAGATTTGAAATCTTTGGAGTAGACAAACTCCAACAGGAGGACTTGATTATATTAGAGTGGACGGACATACTGGCCTTCATCAGAAGGTCAGGGAGATTCGTAAAGGAAATCTAGGCGAAGGAAGCGTATATATGTGGAGAGCAGGGGTTAGCAAAAAGGGTCTATCGGGGCCTACTTGCTTGGCTACAGCCTCCCTACCTACTATTACTACTATAAGCACCACTCCGCCGGTAAAAAAGCTAGTATAGTCGTATTGGGCCACGAATGAAGCCATTGCAACCATTAAACATTTTTAGTAGATAATCATTACCGATTTGGATTTCAAGCCTATACTATAAGACAACCAAATCAAGGAAATTTTTACAATGAATAGTAATTAAGATGGGGAATCAAAGGACGGTCTCTTATTTGTCGTGGATGTGTGCGGAATCAGATGCCTGACCCAGAAGACAAATTCCAGGGACGCTCACTTCGACGCGACTCGACGCCCTAACAAGAGCCTATTCGATATCAGCGAGCGAGCGGTAAATTATTGGAAACAAGCACTCCTGAGTGCAGCTCGCGAAAGCTTCCGCGTTCAACATTATGTTACACTCGACTCGTATAAATTCACATTCTATTCAGACACTCACCATTGATTATGTGAACGTTAACACTTGCCGCTCCTGCTGTTGTCGGCACACAAGAATAATTGCCCGAATCCATGAGGTGTGCTCTAGTGATTTGCATCCTAGATGACAGCACATCGGTCCACTGGTTCTGCAAAAATACGAATATTCGATCATCCTATGCTGAGAGCCGAAGCTCGAAACCGGTCTGTAGGTAGTCAAGCGTTTCTGAACAATTTAAGCACAATTCATCATATACTTGCGATCTTAGTCGTCTATAATAATTGTTGAATGGATTTAGGGAGGATGTAATTCAATGTTTTGCGTGGCATATAGCCAGGAAAGTAGTTGTTTTTCTCTCGTTATCTACCAGTTTCGTTTATTTATGAACATTTGTGGAAATGACTTTAACCTTCGCCTATTTATTAAACATTTCATTCGAATTTGAGCTTCTTGTCTTTTTCTCAGTTGAAATTACGCCAGTCGCGAATCAGCCACTCCCATTTCATCTGAAATGGAAATTTGTTTTGAAGTGTTTCTTTACTACTACCCTAGGTGGCGTTCGTGTCCATTTCGCAGTGGCCAAACGCCTCGTGGGTTTCAAATACTGAGAGGTGTCTACGTTGGGTCACCTTTGCACCAGATAGCGGTCATGAATGCCATCTGGGGACACCCTTGCACTGATGAGAGCCAAAGCTCGAAACCGGTCTGTAGGTAGTCAAGCGTCATCATTTGGCAGCTGACGGGCTTATATATAAGCCCGAAAAATGAACCTTCGGGTGATCTTTGATCACTTTTGATGAAAGTTGTGGAGATGAATTTATGTTTCCATCTATGAATGAGCTGAAAACCAACATGGAACAGCAAATGTATGGAGAAAGCTCTCAAAAAGAAGGCCACGAATTAGGAAATCCTCCCAAGGATCTTCCAAGAAAAAAATCGGGCTATTGGGGAGCTTATTCAATTTAGAGAATAACTCTACTGTAGGCATGGATAACAGTCGAGAAGCTATCAAAGTGCTGAAGTTCTAATGTGCTCTCAAATGGTTTTTTTCGGTGTTCCAGAGAAGTGAGTGAGTTTGATTACCAGAGGAATCCACGGATTGGAATAGTTTTTCACAATATTTTGGCATACGGATCGTGTTTTATGTGCTATTGAATAATTCAATCATGCCTTCGCATTGTGCATCATGCACAAAAAATGCAGCAAGAAATTAGTAATCTCACATAGTTTTTACTATAAAATTCTGTAATTTCTCATTAAAATTCCTTCTGCCACTTCTGCAATAGAAGCTAATACTGCTTAAAGATCGAAAATGTCTACAGCACATATGATCATATTTTGTCAGCATGTCAGATCAGTCCTCCGGTTTGATTGCATGAATCCAATTTTCTTGCATTATTCCAGAAATTCTACGAGTATTTCTATTAGTTCCTATTGCAATGTACCATCTGGATTCCTTCGTCTCCCGCTGCATTTTTTGTACATTGTACAACATCATAATGTGATGGCATGCGCGATTTAATTAATAGGCGAAAAACACGATTCTAATGCCAAGATAATTATGAAAAACTATTTCAATCACTTGTAACTAAATAAGAAAAGTGAGGTTGTCTTTCAATGTTTCACCTCCAGGATCGGTCATCTGACAGTTCCTGCACGCAACACATTGATCTCTTAGGTCGTAGTGTATCTGATAGGAACTCGCACGCACATATCCAAACACTGATAGCTCAACTCTCATTATGAAAAAGCTCTAGCCTGAAGAATATTGTTGTTCTTAGGTCTACTTTTCAACAGTACTCACCTCTATGACGAGTCTTTCTTTATAATTCGCATCATTTACTCGAGGTTCGGACCCCTCGAGGACCTTTTCACCCTTGTACCAAGACACTGTGCCCAAATCATGGGGGCCCTGGGGGATGATGCAAGACAGCGCTATCGAACTGCCTGCTTGGACATACAAATCTGCTGGTCCTAGGATTTTTGCTTTTGCCTCTGAAACACGAAAAAATTTTGGATGAGACCAATTGAATGATCTATACCAGTGTTTTTCAATCTTTTTCACCCCTTTACAGGTTGAAATATTCTGGCGACCCCCTTGTGACGTAGAAAGCCAAAGAAAAAACCTTCAAGGAAGAGAAGAAAATATTTCAACAGCCAAAGATAAAGTAGAAGCATTTCACGCAAAACTTCGTTTGTGGTCAACCTCTCTGCAAAACAAAATGTTCGAGTCGTTTCCATGTGCTCAGAAGATAATTGAAGATAATGCAGCAGACCAAAGTTTTGCAGTATCGGCTCATATTTCTTGCATGATACTGAGCTTGCATAATTCACAAGAGAAACTTTTGACATACTTTCCAGACTTGCACTCTGAAGCTGACAATGGGCGTAGATGGATTTTAAACCGTTTTTGATACAAATTAATAGATCTGGCTGATATCACCACAAAAATGAAAGAATGTCTTCTAGATTTAGCTGCTGATGGCATGCTTAAAATAGACTTTCATTCGCAAAGTGTCGACGTATTTTGGATAAAAAGAAAACACGAATATCCAGAGCTAGCAAAAAAAGCTCTTAAATTATTAGTGCCATTCGCCACTTCATACTTGTGTGAATTGACATTTTCTTCAATGGTAGACAATTAGACATCGAACTAAAAAGAGGAGTATACTGCAATTAGAAAATGATTTGATTATTAACGTTTCACAAATAGCACCACAATTTGATAAACTTCTGAAAATAAACAAGCACATCCTTCTCACTAAAATTGCGTTTTTATTGTGTAAGAACCTCGACTTTTTCTTTTAGCCGGCGATCCCCGAGTAAGGCGTCATGACCCCCAGATTGAAAAACACTGATCTATACCTTTCAGTCCAAGAGCCGGGTCGGGTTATATACCTCCAACCCCCGGACGATTCTTAAGTTTTCTACAGGGCTGGTCATGAAAACCTATCCACAAAACGCCAACTGTACCGGAGCAAATCTTGCCGAAAGTATTTATTAATAATTAATAACCAGGTGCATTTTTTTCGAAATCTACCTTTTTCTCCTGGACACATAATATAACTAATTGATGTGCATTTCAATGAGTACAACCTATGCCTCGTCCTATCCTGCCGAAACCCATGGCACAGTGGCGCTACAAGGGGTAGCAAAAACGCGTTAACTACCTTCTCGCCCCGGACAAAAAAACCATTGACAAAAATTATAGATGAGGACTAGCTGAATACAAAAAACCAACTGTGCCGACTTTCATGTTGCCGGAAATCCCCGTCACAGTAGGGCGAATCAGCAAGTGTTAGAGGAAATTGTTTGTTTCACTGAGCCTATGTTATCGAGTTAACCGATATTTTTCCACATAAATAAAATCTTCCATGAATACTCACGGTATTATCAACTACAAAAAGTAAATAATTCAGCGCTGTTTTAACCATTAGGCAGACTAGGCGGCCTCCTAGGGCTCGGGACGTTACCACCGATACAACAAGGCCAGCAGACTCTGACGTAAACAGCTCGTGACGTCGCCAAGAGAGGCCAGTGTTTTATTTTATCGCTTGTCGACTAACGCGTCAGTTCGTGTTAATTCATCTATGATTCACGTATGTTTTTGAAACGGTCCCGAATTCTTTTGTTGTTTATTCATCAAAATAATTGGCGGAAAAATTACTGTTCTGTGAAATATTTTGTGTTGTGATCGGCGAAATAACAATGCCTTTCAAGTGTTGTGTTCCCTTTTGTCGGGGGAATTATGTGGGTGGTTCAAAAGTTCATGCTTTTAGTTTCCCGTTGGACGAGGAGCTATCGAAAATGTGGGTAAGTATATGCAATTCACCGCGAGGATTTTACTCCATCTAAGTATCTAAGTTCAATAGTAAACAGAGCTTAATTTATAATGATGAATTAATAATAGAAGACAATTATAAAAAGTAAGTAGAGGAAAAATAGAAAAGCTTTGATTGTGCAGTTAGTTTCGTATTCGTATATTATAGTCAACAAAATCATCTCTGAATTCGAGGAAATTTTCTTGAATGTTCATAATAAACGGGCATTTTCAATTCTCATTCTCAAATTTTTTTCTGAAAACGGTCATTTGCCTCGTGGCAATGAATGCAGAATTCATTCCAATGATCAAATTGCAACTACTATATTAACATGAACTACAAACACTCTACTTGAAAAGGTAAAACTGCATCTATCATGATATTTATCATGAAGATATTTGACTAAAAAGTTCCAAATTTTACCTTCTTTTTCACCTGTCTTCTGGATGGCATTTAGAACAAATTTCCCTTCTTTTTTCATCATATTGGACAATTTATATATAATTCAACTATAAATATGATTTTCTTGAGATTAATCCATATTTAGTGAAAAGAAGGAAGAATATCATTCAAAATAATGGCGTGTGTAATGACATTCGAAAGCAATCTATTGACATTTGACATCTCGTATTCTGATCGACTATTGATCAAATGGTCGTCATCTGGAATGCTTGTTCACTAAATATGAAAAACTCGCTATAAAAATCATATTTCCTGTTGAATTTTCTATATAAAAATGTGCCATCGAAGTACATCATGAGTATATAAAGTGTCCAATGACAAAAAAAGAGCAAGTAGCTTCAAATGCCCCCAACAAAAGGGGAGAAAGAAGGCGATATTTCGAACTTTTTCTTGAAATATCTCAATAAATATTGGTTTGTTCACATTTTCATTATAAAATTTGGTTTATCAGACAAAAATACGTGAGTACCGCGAAAAATTTAAAAAAAAAACCATCGCATGATAAATGTAGTTTTACCCTTAAAAATTACGGTTTCAAGTGTAACGATCCACTTGGGTGAAAAATCCAACAGGAAATTGAAAACACTCACTGGTTATTTTTTCAGGTAATAGGAATTCTCCAAGATAAATATAGGTAATTGTAACAAACGGCATGTCAATCAAAATAAAAGGCTCAGTTGACGACTGGCATCCTTTTTTAACCGGAAGCCCTTCAAAAAACAGCAAAATCGGCTCAATGATGATCTAAAACCGAAATCGAAATACGCGGTCTCCTTATAGCGCTTGTCGTTTCGAGCCGCTGGTTAGGCCTCACTAAGTGACGTCACCCACGGAGCATGCAGGCCTTGTTGTATCGGTGGTAACGCCCGGAAGCGTGAAAAAATGATCCAGTGAATTTTTTTTCGCGGCAACCTCGCGTTGTGAGCCCTGTGGCACATGTTATACGTATTATACAAGACCCAAGGTCAGAATGAATATTCTTAAAACATATAGATTAACTAGATATAAATCTGAAGAGTTCTTCCTGCAATAAAATTAGGCAAAGCGGTAAAGTTTGAGGAATAAAAGTCTTTGTACTTGAGTGAACCGAAATATTTTCACATAAATTATTTCGTTTATCAACTCGCGGTATTATCCGCAATTACTAGTACAAAAAGTAAATAATTGAACAATCCACATCCGATGTCTCTGATGTTAGCTACTTACTTATGTAAAATTTCGATAAATTGCCGAAATAAATTCAAGGTCAATATTACAATATGGATTAGTTAATCATTAGGTAATTTTTAATTCTTCATCTATGTGTCTTTCTATGGAATATGTAAGAACAATTGTTCAGACAATCTAACTTTCTTTGTTTCTTTCAGTTGAGATTATAGAAAGGGTGCCTATCTTTCCGAAATCACTTGGTTTTTGACTAGTTGTCGAATTTGTATTTCCACTTATTTTTATTTTGGTATATTATATTCCATATCTGAAAGGACTTCAATTACAAACGACTGTAATATTTCTAATTCATAGATACTCCACATACCCATATCAATTAATTTCAGTGCATCAAGAATGATTCTCTGAACATTATATGACATATCTATCCATATTATTATTTATATTTATTGAATTCTGTACAATGATATTTCGTGCTGATTCTCCTCTCATCGATACGCTGTTGATTTTTTTGCCGAATGTATCCTCCAGTCTCCTCCAATCATCAGTATTATTGAAAACCGCACGAACTTGATTTCCAATTTAAATATCAATTCAAATATTGAGTACAATGAATAATTGCTAATAATCAATTTCAATTCTGACACAATATTGGCAATTCATTTCCCAATTTGAAGTTGTTTGGTTTCAAATTGAATGAGTTTATTCTTATTTTCATTGCGTTAACAACTTGAATATGTTTATTTGAAACTGTTTATTCTGAATTTGGAAATGACTATTTCCAATTTGATTCTGTTTATTTCAATTTCGAATTTGTTTACCAATTTGGATGTGTTTAATTCCAACTTGAAATTGGTGAATCTCAATTTGAACTTGAAAAGGTATAGAGTCTGCATCTTTCAAAAACGGCTGCTCTCAACGAAGTTATACACGCCTGGCAAAGGGGACGTAAGCGACGTTGCCAACTTGTGTGCAGCTCGTGTGGCAAACATGCGACTGAGTGTACACGATACGTAGGTGGAAGGAAAGGTTTGGCAATGCTGCTTTGTTTTTCTCTCTATTAGATATTATTAGATACTCGTGAACTTCTATGCGAATTCAATCCAATAAATGGTCTCCCCATTAGAAGATTCCTTTTGCCAGACTTGTAAATCAACAAGCACCATATCTCTCATATTTGGCAACAACCTATTAGAGCATAACCACATAGCGAGAATTCACTTCCAATGTAGAGGTTAACTGGAATATACATAATAAATATGCGGTATCGTATTGAGTTTCGTTTTCCCCTCTGTTTTATGTTATAAAATATCGAGAATTTCAATAATTATTCAAGAAACGTACGGAGCACTGAAGAGTGAACGGTTTGTGATAGTGAAATAGTTTGGGTTCGAACTTCGAAATGATAGAATGAAATCTTTCACAAAAACAGCAGGCTCATTCTGATGTCTGAACAAATCACGCAGAGTACAATAATAATTATTAGTCAAATTGTCATGAAGTGACGTACTGTTTTCATTTCTTGTTTGGTGTTCAAGATAGAAT